TTCCCAAGCACTGGGATTACAGGCACGCACTACTATTCCCAGTCTCAATCTCTGGCTCAGCACACCCTGGGGTTGGGGCCGGCACAGCATGTCGAGGATAGAATCTCGGGCCCCTGCATCTGCCTAAGCAGGCACTTTAATCTGCTGAGCTATCTGGCCAGCCCTCGAGCTGACATTTTGATTTCTAGTTTTCAATGCTGATTATTTTCTGGTTAGGTCTTATTTTCAGGGAAATGACAACAATCTTTTGTTCACATGTTAGCAGGCTGAATGGCTCTGACAAGCTTGTAAAGCAGGGTATATGTGACTGAGAAGAAACCCACAGCTAAGAACAGAAAGTGTGCACTGGCACCATGACACTATTTTGGGAAAACAGAGATACTGACCACCTAGACTGAAAATTGCGACCATTATTTTTCTTGTACTTTATTTTTTATATGAGCGATTCCTCATTTAAAAAAGCAAAACAAACAAACAAAAAAACCTTTGTCTAAAATGTCCAGAAGAGTACCTTTTTTACATACAAAACAAGTATGCTAAAGTTTAATTGGCAACATTTCTTTTTGTGGTCACCTTACTTATTTATGGTATCTTGGTTCTGATGAAATGGATTAAAGTGAGACTCCTTGTGATTAATGCACAAATTGTTTCTGTGTATCTATTAAGGCAATTTAAATGTACTGTTAAAAGTTGTAAGTAAGCTGGGTGTGGTGGCACACACCTGCAATCCCTAAACTTGGCAAGGTGAGACAGGAGGATCATCGAGACTAGCCTTCACTATAAAATAGAGTTCAAGGCCAGCCTGAATTGCATGGTTAGACCCTGTCTCAAAAAGACTTAAAAAAAAAAAAAGACATAAAAAAAAAGTTGTAAGCAGTGGGTACTTCCAAAGTCTATTCATCATAAAGAGTTATTTCTGCACTTGCCTGCCTAGATGAGATACCTAGACTAAACCAAATGACAAGTATCCTGGGCATTAGAACACCTCAATGCACACTTAGAGCAAATCTCACAATCTTTCTAATTTGATGAATACTGCTTAACATGCACATGCTTTTCTCTGCAAAGAATTATATAATGAACACAGGTTGCCTAAAGGAGTTTAAAACAGTAAAAAAATAAAATGCTACCTAGCAAAGATCTTTTCATAAGAAAATAGTAAATACTGAGCAGATTTTAAGTTGATACAAATAAGACATACAGTGTGAAAATAGTCCACAGCATTTTCAAAGTTGCCCATCAGGCTATGGATATACCCTATGGCAGAATAGGTGGACGCATTCTGAGGAATTAATACCAATGCTTGCCGGTGGTAATCCAATGCCTCAGCATATTTTCTGTTGAAAGAAGACCAAAGGGTAAAGTTGGAGAAGGGGGATAAAAGAAAACAATTACTGGGTATATTAAAAGCACTAAATTTCTAGGACACACAAGATTCATCTAAGACATGTAAGATTCATCTACATAAACTGAGAAGAAACTTTCCTCTATTACAATAGTAGAATACACTGTTAACTGACTGTCTCATACCTATTTTTAAGGATTTCAACAACTTGAAATTGATCTTCTTGGAATGCTCCCTCAGACACTCCTGTATGATCTGCTATACTGTCTTTGCTATCTAAAGTACACTGGAACCAGAGCCTCATTCCTAATTCCTGCCCTTATCACACACCACCTTTTGAGGTGATAATAAACCTCCCATATTGGTGGTTAGAAGTACCCAAGGAGTTTTGCTTTAAGATTTGAAAATCACTTGGACAGTGTGTCCCCAAACTTCTCTGGTATATTTGTCCTGTAAAATCTTGTCTGGAAAAAAAGCTTTTGGGAAATGCTACAACTCACAATGCAAAGTAAAGACTCAAAGAAATCCTGCAGTAGAAAAATTAATGAAATCTTGACTCATCTAGTTTCCAAGACTTTTTTTTTCACTAGTACACGTTTCTAATACATTCTGCGCCCCTCCTCCCCTCGCTCTTTCCTCTTTCTTAATTGCCTTTCTATTTAAGAAAGAGCTAACTCCCTACTTCCTATATTCTGTCTGTTCTTTATTTTGCTATTCATTTATATTTTGGCTTATGTAAGAGAAACCATGTAATATTTAAGCTTGTACGTTTGATTTATTTCACTTAGCATCATGGTCTCAAGGTGCCTCCATTTCCTACAAATGACTCAAGTTTATCCTTCTTTAGAGTACACTAGTACTCTACTATGTATAATGCCACAGCGACTTTTTACCTGTCACTTGTTTACTTCACCATAAAATCTCTGCCACAACAGTTATAGTATATACATTATTTGAGTTACACCTTATTGTCCTGATTCTTCTAAATTTAAAACACTAAAATTGCATTTAATATTAAAAGAAGTTGTTACATAATGTTTCTAAAATACAAGGAGAGAAATAATAAAAACATTGATCTTCATGCTTGTTGTGTTGGAACAGCCAAGTATAAAAAAGCTGGAGGATCTCACGAAATAAAAATATGGCAAAATTCCATTCAAAGTTAAGCAGGATTTTAGTACATTTCTAAAAGTATGTTTTGGAAAATGCTCTACTTTACTTACTTAAGTTTTCTGCAGACATGCCCCAAATTGTTCAACAAAGGTTCCCATTTGTCAACTGTTACCTAAAACACAGTAACATCAAGCCAACGAATTACAAATGTCACTGTTAACCTGGGTTATTTGAAGTGCATCATTTCACACCTCTGCAGCCAGGAGGTAGGTCTCTGTACTCCTTTCCTGACAGATGCCTCCACCACAGCACAGGGTAAGGGCATTTCATCTGGTTTAGCCATTTTTCTTTCCTACTAGAGGGACTTCCCAAGAACTCTACTGCAACTATAATTCTGTCAAAGAGCCCATCCATGCTGAGAAGAATTTAAATTGTGTAGTCCAGATTCTCTTTGAAACACTGCATCTTTGTATGCCTCTGCCTAGGAAGTATATCCACTTAGAGATGCTTCAAGTACTTTAAATTCAACACCAACTCATCTCTCTCTGGCCAATCCAGTTCCCTCATCATATCCCCTAGTTGTCCTATTAGCCAGTCAATGGAATCAGGTCATCTTGATCCTCTAAGACTACCCAGGGCTTTTTCATTCTAACTCCTGGGCAGAACTCCAACCCTGGAATCCTCAGCTTCCCACTGGTTTGAGTCTCCATCTTATAAGAGATTGACTATGATGTACCCTTTGGAAAACTATTGTCTTCCCACACTTTCTAGGAAAAGGTACAAACTCTATTACAAAGTTTTTAAGGCCACTAAAGACGCACAGTGAGCCTTTCTGTCTCACTTCTGGCTATCTTCTATGATTTCATAACCTAAGCCACACTAAATCAGCCTCCAACTTTGAATATGCCACTCTCTACACCTGCAATATTCTTCTACTTCAATTCTGCTTCACTGACATTTGATCACTTTCAAGATTGAGATGCATGACATAACCAAAAGCCCTAACCACCTTTATGTCTGGAGTAACCACTACCCTTCTATGTAGGTGGTGCCTTTACATCTTCAATCACATGGTTTTGTTATTGCCAATTTATTTATTTGCATTCCTCAGTAGATCTGAGGGTGAGAAATACCAAACTAGCTTTTGTAGCATCCATTGCCTACCCAAGAGCCTAGGACATGGCCATCAGCTAAATGCACAGACACCCAAATCACTTTTTCTAACTTCTACTGAGACTGGCTCTAAAAGGACAGTGCAGGTAAATAAAAGTAAACCCTCCAGTGGTTCTTAGGCATAGCTGCTTCTTTGGTTATTTTGATATCTACTACACTTTATAACTAAAATCACACTGTATTTTCCTTTCCTACAACTTTTAATGGCACTGTGATACTTCAATAATATTGTCCCTTTGGGCTGGCCAAATAGCTCAGCAGATTAAAGCGCCTGCTTAGGTAGACGTGACAGCTGGGGTTCAATCCCCAGTGGGCTGTGCCAGCTCCGCCCTGGGGGTGCACTGAGACGGCAATAGAGACTGGGCATGGTGGCACAGTGCTGTAATCCCAGCTCTTGGGAGGCTGAACACAGGCGGATCAGAGTCCGATCTACATGAGACCCTGTCCTACAATACAAAA